TCCTCCATTTACATATTTATTGAATAATTTATTCATATCCATGTGAGCTCGTTGGGTATATATTTCATACCTTGGGTTATAATCCAACACGACTTTATTCTGTTGCTCAAACTGCGCCAGGCTTGGCCCCTGGGGGTTCCTTCAGTTGTGGCTCCTGTGCTCCTTCGTCACACCCACATCACTGTCAGAGTCTGTTTTTATTTTTGTTTTTGAGCTTCCTAGCTTTCGGGCTCATCATATTTCCTGGAATGAGCCATTTCTCCAAGGAGCTTAATGCCCTTTTAAACTACACGTTACCTTGAGATTCTCTGGGAGGAGATAAACTGTGACAATGGATGATATCATTGTATTCAAGGCAATGGCTTCCTAGCTTCATTAGCAGGGCAGCTCTGCCTGGGAAATCTGCAAACACAGTCCTCTCCAGCTCTGGCCCCGCTCCCCGGGGGCTCTATGGCTGTGCGTCCAAGGGACAGTCAGTGAGTCTGTAGCGGGAAACAGGTGTCGGAACTGTCACCAGTTAGCAAAAGTGCACACAGTCTGCATATTGGTGACTCCAGGACGTAACACCGATTCCTTAGAAGAATCAATGAATAACAAGGCTGACCAGGAATTGCAGACAATTTTTCAGTAAAACAGATCTTGTTTTAAATTATGACTCTGCTGATCACTCATTTTGAGATCTGGCAAATCACCAGGCTTCTCAAAACTATGATTCCCTCATCCTGAAACAGGGGCAGGTGGGCCCGTTTCAAAGGTGTGATGAAGAACAAGCTCGAAACTGTGGCCCACGCACCCAGCGAGGACTTCACACGTCGAGGACACGGAATAGGTGCCCAGTTGTTTTCCTCTGTCTCACACTTTAAAGGAGTCTTTATTCAACACCATCTGCAGGAACTAAACTCAGAGGAGGCCGAGGTGTCTGTGGAAGAGAACCCTGGCTTTCCATGGGGTCCCTGGCCTTCCAGCGGGGACTCTGGGTTTACCAGGGGGTCCTGGGCAGATGTACCTCATCTCGGGAGGAGGAAACAAGTCCCCCAAATTCTCCCGGGGTAGGAGCACCTCTTCCCCATGGGGCTGGGCCATGCTTGCCAGGGAGGAGCCACAGCCTGCAGCCCTGGCTTTGCCCGAGCCAGCCCAGGGGCAGCTCAGCTCACTCGGTCTCTCTGAGGCTCCGTTTCCCCTTTTGTAAGACAGAGCACTTGATGGGCTTTCTGTGAACATTGAATCGGCACGTGTGGAGTGCCTGGCAGAGAGGAGACCCTGACAACAGCGGGGCTGGTGCCCCTCCCCTGTGCCGCCCACGCCTGGGACACCAGTCCCCGGGGTCCTCCGCTCCCCCGCGGCTCAGCAGCCTGTCCCACCTCTGCCGCTAGATGAGTGCACAGAACCCTCACAGCCCCGACGGCCGAGGTTCGTGAATGCGGGTCCACGTCGCCACGGGCAGGACCAGGCTGCAGGTTTCTCCTCCAGGAGACTCGTGCAAGGACAGCCAATGTCCTCAAAGCCAGCTGAAGCCCAGCCTCCCCGGCGAGCTGCCGGGGGTCGGGAGCGCTGGGGTGTGTGGGCGCGGGAGACGCTGGGGCCGGAGCCCGGGGCGAGGCCGGGCGGGCAGCATGGCCCAGCGGCTGCCAGGAGGGTCAGGAAGACGGGAGGCCCCACGTGGGCACTCAGGTGGAGCACAGAGCCTGCTCCGAGAACTGGGGGGTGCCCTGCCCGGTGAGGGGAGCTGAGGGCCCGGCCGTGGCCTCAGACCCTCAGCTCAGTCCTCAGGCTGCACCAGCAAGGGCCCAGGCCCCAGAGCCTGCTGTGGAATTGCTGCCACGCCGTCAGGGTTCACGTGCATGAGGCCCGGGGGCTCTGAGGGCAGTGATGAGAGGTGACGGGGCTCCTGCCCAGCCCTCCACACCACACACGCTCCACCCTCCTCGCAGCCTGGGGCCAGGTGGGGCGGTCACAGGACCCAAGACCCCAGGAGCCCTCAGCCACGTGAGGCCTCCACATCACCAGCTCAGGGCGGTGGCAAGGAGCTTCTGACCTGGGCTCCCACGAGGGCTGTACCAGGCCAGGCCGTCCCCGGACCACTCGGGGCGGGGAAGTGGCCGGGCCCTCGGGGAATCAGCCCAGACTCACGTGCAGAGTCCTTTCCTCCCTGAAATCCCCGAGCCTCTCCATTCCCTGTCCTGCGGCTCTGCACGGCATGAGGACCCTGACTACTGGAACCACAGTAGGCTTGGGGCTCCGTGGCTCTTTACTAGTGAGGGTGTGCGCATGTTTGTGTTTGTGAGTGTGTGTGTGGTCAGCAGGGTGTCCAGGGCAGACACTGAACAGTCAGTCAGGCTTTATTAGGTGAACTGAATTGCCCAAACTAAACCTAGACGCTACTGTGCTCAGCTGGAAGCTCACCTCGTTCAATAAGGAAAGAGAGAAAAACAGAACATTTGTGGAGCATTGCACACCAAACTCTTCACAGACATGATCTCATGTAACCATCATACGAACCTAGAAGACACATACCACGTGACCTGTTTAATATTCCTCCCAAGGAAGCCGGCTCAGAGAGCCAGACCAACACGCTGGCAGGTCCCCGCGCGCTTGCGAGGGTGGCGCCAGGGGCTCAGGTCTCCAGGATGCGGCAGATTAATTCGGTGACACCGTCAAAGAAGGCAAGTGTGAGGGGAAGAGTGGGAAAGAGAGGACAAACCAGAGCTGGAGGAGAGGAACCAGGTGCACCGAGGAGAAGCCGCCTCCGGCTCACCTAGACAATGTCACCATAGAAACAGGACAGGCTTCTGGATTTTTCTAACATACAATGCACAGAACTGAATGGTAGCAGGAACTCCATATCACAGGGTCAGGGCTACAGGGAGTGGCCAGCGGGGTCCTTTCAAGGGAGCTGTCTGCCGTGAGTGCCTGAGGGCTGCAGACCAGGAGCACAGGTCTGCCCGGAGGAAGGTCCCCTCGGAGGGGCCACACAGGGCCACCCACAGGACACATCCGGATGCTGAGAGCCAGCAGGTCAACAACAGCTGGGACGTGGGTATCGAATGTGCGAGTGGAGCCGTCTGGGAAGGGAGACCACAAGTGAGGGTGGAGGGGTGGGGATGAGGGTGGAGCCCCATTCCTACTAGTTCCGGGGGGTGGAGGCTGTCACTGCTGCCTGAACACAGTGACGTGGGTTGTCAGCATCCGGAAAACAAGGATGTAATAAGGTATTTACTAATAAGACTACAGAGAGCAGGGAAAGACACAGGGGAACCTACATGCGCATCGTCAAGTCAGAGACGCCAGGCTGCAAAGGCTGCAAACTGTAGGATTCCCACCATATGATGTTCTAGAAAAGGCAAACTGTGGAGACAGTAAATGATCAGCGCCTGCCAGGGGGAGGGAGGCTGAATAGTGGAGCTCGAGCAGAGAGGAGCCTGTTCTATATGATGCTGCGACGATGCCGCATGGCGCCACACATTTGTCAAAACGCACAAAACGTACAAGAGTAAACCCTAATGTAAACATATAAACCATGAACTTAGCTAATAGTAATGTATCAATAACGGCTCACTGATTGCAACAAACCTAGATGCTAACGTGGGATGTGAATACTAGGAGGAACTGGGGTGGGGATAACGTGAGGAATCCTCTGATCTTTAGACTCAATTTCTCTTTACACTTGAAACTGCTCCAAAAATGAAGTCTATTAATTAAAAAATTACATAGAGCAGAATTTAATTTTGCTGACAATTGAAGTGGTTCTTTGGGAAAATGCAGCCCTTTCCTTCCGTCACTCTGACCACCACCCACGATGTGTGAAGAGAGCAGCGATTCGGGGTTCGGGGGGTTCGGGGGGTTCTTGTCTCTCCACTTGGCTAAACCACGATGACCAGCACCTGAACTATGAAATACTTTTTTGTGTGTGTGATTATTGGGTTTTGTTTTGTTTTTTAACATCTTTATCGGAGTATAATTGCTTTACAATGGTGTGTTAGTTTCTGCTTTGTAACAAAGTGAATCAGTTATACATATACATATGTTCCCATATCTCTTCCCTTCTTGCGTCTCCCTCCCTCCCTCCCCCCATCCCACCCCTCCAGGTAAAATACTTTTCCTCAAGCGTAGGTGTGTCAACCTCGTGTCTGCACTACTACAACATGTTTTGTTAACTTCCCCAATTTTCCTGTTGCCCTGGAGGAAGCTGGTTCAGAGAACGTGGCACAGGTGAGACTCTAACCCCAGGTCTCCACCACTCAGAGCCCAGGTCTGCTCAGTGGATTCCCTCCCACAAGCTGCCCACACCTCCCACTTCCAAGTCCAGGGTCCCTGGGGCAAGCGTGACTCCGGCTGGCAGCCCTGCAGCGTGTCTGCCTTCTGTGCATCCTGCTTCTCTGGAATTATTCCCCTCAAAACGCCGCCCCCATGACCCTTCCTGCCCCCCACTCAGCCGCCCTGGACGGCGGCGCTGCCCGTGCACCCGCCTCGTTCCTGCCTTGCTACCCTCTTTCCACAGAACTCTCTGGCTCCGACACTACGACGTCAGCGCTAACTTCTCCTGCAGGGCAGCGGGCAGCCGCCCCTTCCAGGCAAGCAGACGTGGGTTCACCACTCTCATCTTTTCGTCCTGCCACAGTCCTTGAGTTCCTGCAGTTCCTGCAGAGAGGGACGCCAAGCCAGGTGCCGAGAGCGCTGGAGAGGAATGTGATTCCCCTGCCGCCTGCCGTAGAGGCCCTGGCAGACCCAAGGCCCAGCCTGCAGAGGCTACGAAGGCGGCCAGCAGTGCTGGGCCCTGGCAGTTCCCCACGGCCGTCCACCGCCGAGCCTGCCAAGACCCCAACCCAGGACGAGGTGGGAGATGTGCCAGAGGCAGCGGGGCCCACCTCCAGGCCTTGGCCACCCCACGCGGGCGGCGCTAAATCGTGGTGCCGGTTGTCCGTGGCTGCAGAGCAAATTCCCCCAAATTTTAAAATGTCATTCATTTTTAACTTAAAATTATTATTTTATTATGTCTCATGACTTTGAAGGTCAGGAATTCAAGAAGGACTACTGGTCTGCCCTACATGGCAGCAGCTGGGCTCAGCCTATGAATTCAGCTGCTCCATCCACAGGCCTGGACCTTGGCGGGCACAGAGCAGGGTTGGCCCCCTGTGGGCCCCTCTCCTTCCCGGGAGGCCCAGTCCTCTCCAGGTGACTCCCAGTGGGTAGCAGGAATTCTTACTTAGTGTCCCAGGGCCGTCAGAGGCAAGCTTCCAAGAGGCCGAGGCAGGAGCTTCAAGTTTTTCTGAACTGGCCTCCGAAGCTCTGGAATGTCCCTCCTTCTGCATCCAATGGATGAAACAAATTGCAAAGGCCCGTCTAGAGTCAAGAAGGGGAGAGAGAGACTCCCCGCTGGAGAGAGGAACAGCAGAGGGCCGGGAACGCAGACGTAGGCGGTGGCTGCCGTGGAGGGCCGATCGCTGGAGTCCAACACAACCCGAACTGGCGAACCCCTGCAGAACCACAGAATACGCAAGAGGAAAGACAGTGACCCCAGGGAGCGCCCGGCACCCGGTCCTCCTTCAGGGCTCACCCTCCGCCCCCTGCCCGGCTCAGAGAACAGGGCTGGAACAGCCCACACTGGGCTGCATAGCAAGGACACTCAAAAGCCCTTTCCTGCAGGGGCTGGAGTGTGTCCCAAGTAACAGGGCTGTGGACACAACGCCCTGCAGATCCTGTTTCCCAAAGAGGCCCTGGCAGGCAGAGCTGAGGGCACAGTGTGCTCACAGCTTCTGAGAACCCGGAGGGGAGGCCAGGGAACTGGTGGGTCCGCCCTGAGGGTTTCCTCAGAGCCAGGGACAATCTGCTTTCTAAGCCTTTTAGGTCTTTAAAAAATTCAGCATTTGAAAGGAAAAACTGGAGCTATATAATGAGATTAGCAATAAAGCATCTAGTAGAAACCACACACTTCCTACAGGTACGAAGCTTCCCGGGATCATGAAAAGGGAGCCACAGGCGCAGGAAATGCAGCTCCTAACCTCCAAGGCCCCAGAGCCCCGCTCACTCCTATGGATAATCACCGAAGTCCTCCAGGCCCCGCTGTGCACAGGAAGAGCCCGGACCTCCCCCACCAAGGAAAGGAAAGGCCAGGAAGCGGGCAGGCAGGGGCACACGAGCCGGGATGAAGCCTCGGGGGGACTCAGTGCCCGGGGGCTGGCAGGCTCCCTTCCTCTTAACACCGCCCACTCTGCGTCTCACAGCCAGGCTCCCACCAGCACCCCTGAGGAACTTCTCCACACAGAGAGACTCTGGCGGAAAACGGAACTCTTCCCCCTCCCGGTCTCCACTTCTGGACCCCACGGAAGGCTCCTAACGAGCCTGTCCCTGTCATGCGGCCACCTGAACTGCCTTTGTCGCAGAGATGGGCAGGTGTAGACTAACCTACCACTTCTGTCAGCAGCAGGAGCCTGCGACCTAAACCCCCAAACCCAAAGCCATAACCGCTGTTCTCAGTGACTTCAGACTGAATGACGTGGGCACGTGGAAGAGGCTAGTGGGCTGGGCTCATGGTGAGGATGTGTGTAGCATCGAGATGCCGGGTTAGAGCAGGATGGTGTCCAGGCGGGGAGCCAGGCTGAATGGAGGGCAACACGTGGGCAGGGAACACGTGGGCAGGTGCATACAGAGACCGGCCAGCCCCAGATGGTTACTTGCTATTGGGGTGAGCCCCGTGAAACCCAGGGCTGCAACGAGATCAGAAGGCACAGGGAGTGAGGAGCAGAGGCCACAGGGCCAGGCAGCACCTGAGGGCAGGTGGCCAGGTGAGGGGAGGTGGCCAGGTGAGGGCAGGTGGCCAGGTGAGGGGCAGATGGCCAGGTAAGGGGATGTGACCAGGTGAAAGAGAGGTGACCAGGTGAGGGCAGGTGGCCTGGTGAGGGGAGGTGGCCAGGTGAGGGCAGATGGCCAGGTGACAGTCGGGTGGCCAGGTGATCATGTGAGGGGAGGGGTTCTGGTGTCTCTTGGTGCCCATCCTCTCCCTGACGGCCTGAATCCACCAAAGGGTTCCCCTAGACACAGCACCTGCACGTAAGAGGTTTTCAGTAACAGCCTCTTAGTCTCCTTCCCCTGTGTGCTCAGCTAGAGAGGGTGGGATGGTGCAGGGGTCTGTGTGGGTCTGTATTGGTGATGGGATGTGAGCATTTAAAATCAAGCCCTGTAACCAGTAGTAAATACTATGCATCTTTGGAGAAGCAGGAGAAAAAAACTGTACCTTAACTCTACAATTTTCCCAAACTACCAGACAAAAAGATGGACATAAAACATCTTTTCTGTAAGATAATGAAAACAGACAAAAATGAATACCAAGCCTGTGTGATTGCTAGTGCCTCATCTGACAATACAGAAGCTTATTTAAAATGGTAATATTTATCAAATGTCTATGAACATACCTAGCAAATAATTCATGATGAGGACATTGCCTATGAGGCTGCACCACTTGAATTTTGGATCTAATCTATGATTTAATCGTGTTAATTACACATATACCATTAAGTAGCAAGTCATCTCAGCCTATACAGTGTAAATGGGTGGTTCAAAATTGTATTTGTAATATGTCCACAGGCTTATTTGCCATAAACTAAAGTATCAAATTTTATCAAATAGAGAATGTAGATGTTTAATTGGAAAACAAAGAGAAAATGTAGCTGACTTTGCTTTCCATAAACTAAAACGCACACACACTCATTACAAAGAGTCTTTCTTGTTCCCAATGTCAAGTGAGAGTCTCCAAAATGTATCACGTGCAGTCACTTATCGTGAGAGCATCACACGCGTTGTCACGTTTCCCTCACTGTTATGATTATAGAGTCCTTGCCAGTGTGCTGCCATTTCCTGAGAGAAACAGCTTTACCCAATAGCAGAATTAAATCCTATTACTGGTGCCCTTAGGCTCATGAACAGCAGGTAACTTACTCACGTCAGCGTTGCACTCACGGTTAAGGAGGACAGAGGGGCTGGGCTTCACGGCCTCCTGCATGGGGTTTCTCGGGCTCGGGGGAGGGCCCTGGGCGGGGAAGCTGGCTCAGTTTCTGTTCTGTCTCCTTTTCTGTGCACAGTATTCACTCGCTCCCTCGCTCGCTGTGTGACCCTAAGCAAGTCTTTTCCCTCATCTATAAAATGAGGGCTCAGCTTGCAGTCACCAAGTCCCCTTCCAACAATTCCATCCTGTGTTTCTATTTGAGACAAGGAATGCCCTTAAAATGAGGTTACAGAAAAAAAAATAAATAACTATATGGGACGTCACTGCTGTGTCTGTAGAACAGAAACATTCTGCATTTTGCGGCCCATAATATTTCTCCCCTTATCTATTTCTTATCTGCATAAAAGCAATGAAATGTCACCTCATTCAACACACATTTACGGAGCACCTACAGTTCTATGTGTACTCAGGCCCTGGAGATGCAGCAGAGCCAAGGGACAAAGGTCTTCACCCTCTCAGGCCTCCCCTGTGCTGGGGGGACAGGCAGCAGAAATAAACAAGGGAAACACACAGAGGCTAGAAGGTGTAATGGCTCTTTATCACTGCCTGACAACTACCGCATGCTCAACAGCTGCAGACACACAAGCTGACCATCTCTTGGCGTCTGTGGCCAGGAGCCCTGGCACCGCCGAGCTGGGCTTTCCGCTCAGGCAGCGATCCAGGTGTGGGCCAGGCTGCGTTCTCGTCCCCATCTTCACTCACTCATGCTTTGGCGAACTTACGTGCACTTGCAGACAGCTTAGTTATCCAAAGCAGACAACAGCAAGACTCTAGGCTGAGTGTGCAACAAGGCGGTCTCACGTCTGTCAGCCGCAAGCAAGGCCCCAGCACCCGGGGCACCTTCTGTAGGCAGAGGTGGTCACAGGTCCTGCCCACACCTGGGGAGGGGCTCACCCCAGGGTGAGAACTCCAGGAGGTGGGCCTGCTCAGGCCTGTCTGCCACAGAGGGCCTGGGTCCCACGGAGGAGGGAAGGCCATGAAGGTGGGAGAACCCACGGGAGGGCTGCGTGTGAATAGGGAGGGCACCTATCGCAAAGAGGCAAGAAGGATATCACAACTGTTGCTGCTCCAGACGGAGGAGAAAATGCACCGCCCCCCCCACAACCACCACGGGAGAAGCTGCCCCGTATGTTCAGGACAGCAGGTGCCCATCCTTGCTGCAGGGCGCGGCCAGTGGTAGAGGCGTGGATGAGGTCGAGAGCAGAGAGGCCAGACCGCGAGGGCTGGCGGGCCTCGGGGTTTGCTTTGTGTTTATCGTGCGTGAGACAGGAGCCCCTGGGAGGGGCCCCACGGTGCAGTGACAGGACTGCTTGCTTTTTACAGGGTCCCTCTGAGCGCTGGCAGAGACTCAGAAGGTGGGCAGAGTTGACTAGACAGGACACCACTGCAGGCTGTCCTGGCGCTGATGGAGATGTTGACCGCGGTGCTGACTCTTGGGTGGGGAGAGATTTGCACGATGGCTTGATTTCAAAGATGGCACCCGCAGGATTCCTGGATGAATTAGAAGTAGTTTCCGCAGCGGTCAGGACCCTACAACAGCTCTGGGGCTTCAGCCCGCACCCTCCTTCGGCACCACGACCGTGTCCCAACCACGGTGACAGCGCCTGAGCCGGCGGGTGCCTGGTCCAATCAACACAGGCATCTCACTTGTCCCGCTCTCAAGCCTTCTCATGGAAAACAACCCTCACCTCCTCTCCTTACACCCCTCCAGGCCTGTGACAGGCCGTTGTCACTGCAGGGACGCTATTCCCCAGGAAAGAAACCTTCCCTCCTCTAGGGCTCCCTCGGCCTCTTTGGGCGGAAGTAGCAGCCCCTGCTGCATCCACTCATCACGTGCCTGTCCTCCTCCAGGCTCGGGGGCACCATCTTCCCTCGTTCCAGCCCTCAGGGGGTGCCTGACACAAAGCAGACACACATTAAAAATAATAACGGCGTGCCACAAAGGAAAGGTTAATGTCACCCCTGAATGACTAACCCAGCTGACTGGAGAGCTGCGTTTAGGGCCTCCAGTTCCCAGCTGGAGACAGCAAGCCTCAGAAATTGGACTTCAGTTTCCACCTGGAAGGCCAGTTAGGAACCTGAAGAGGCCAGGGGAGTTTGGGAAGAGAAGCTGAGCTGCAAGCAGGGCAGGACAGAGTGGGCCCGACGGGGCTCCGCCCACACCTGGAGTCTGGGGGCGGAGTGTCCACGCTGGGGCGAGAGCTGGGACGGGTGCCCCTTGACCACACTCAGCCCCCATGGGCTCCACGTGCCTGGCGGTGTAAGCAGGTCTGGTTCGCGCTGAGCCCTGCAGCCTGGAGGCCAGGGACCTGGCCCCCCGAGAGCTCCCTGCCTGGGCCTTGCTCTGGGACGCTGGTCCCCCTCCCCCAGGACCCCTGCGCCTGGGGCCTCAGCGTGCCTCCCCCAGCCGGGGCCCTCAGGCACAGCCTCAATAAGCCAGTGAGTCAGAGCGACACCTGGACACCGTGGGCCTCTTAGAGGCCCCACCTAAGGCCCTCCTGGAGGGTTCATAGGCCGCATGCCTCCATCCCATGCCTGAGAGCAGCCTCCAGGAAGGTGCAGGGCGGTCACCTCCAGGACGTGGGCAGGTCCTCTGATGAGGAAGCCAGAAGACCCTGTGGGAGACTCGTCCACCTTCCCCTCTGCTATGAGGATGCCAATAGCCCGGGCCAGATGATGCATTAACCTATTTCTCACTCAGGCGAGGGTCATCCATCAGATCCACTTTCCTCCTGGCAGGGCGAGCCAGCTGCCAGGTGCACGCTGCTCCACCGAGGGGGCCGTCGGCTGTGATTGTGGGCAAATCCCGTCCCCTCCCTGGGCCCCAGGCCCATAATTTATAAAGGGTGGGGGTGGATCTCAAGAGCTCCAAGCCCTCTGCCTCCTGTGAAGGCTTCAGCTTCGGGAAAGGATTCACTCGCATTTTCTGTCCTGAGACAAATCCCAGGTGGAGGTTCTGGTTTTGTGTAAAATGAATCCCAGACGGGAGGGTGCCGGCCACGCCCTGGGGGCTGCACTGAATGTCCGGCCTGCCGCTCTGCCAATCCCTTCCCTGAAATCAGCATTGTCAATCTTGATAAAGTCAGGTTAGCCGTGGCTTGTGTTACCTGCACAGGCAGAGGCACGGGGGGGACGGTGAAACCCCAAAGGACATGAGCGTGGTGGCTGCAGGTCTGCGTCACCTCAGTCTTGGGGCGCGGCAAGGAGGCTTCGTCGACAAGCAGCGATGCAGGTCCCCCTCAGGACCCCTGAGCGCGTGCGACTCACTGAGGTCCCAGGGTGGCAGGGTCCAGTGGGGGAACACGGCGCTGGCAGTGTGAGGGGAAAGCACAGATGGACAACATCTCAGGGAGGAAGAGCAGGCATGTGTGCCTGTGGACGCATGTCTGACGGGGCGGAGAGCACTGTCCTCAGGGCCCAGGCCCCAGGTCCTCTGTGGGTACCCCTCCGGCCCTCTCCACAGACCCCACTAGGAATGGCCTCCCACTATGGCTCGAGTTCCTGAGAAAGCTCTGGAATGGCTCCTAGGAGCCTCTGGGCACAGGACCAGGCCAAGAACCTACTCCTGGCCAGCACTTGCGGCCTGTGCTGAACACATCCGTGGCACGAATCCGCACTTCCCGAGTGCCTGGGGCACGCCAGCCTCAGCGGGTAGCTCTTTTCACGCAATCCTAGCGCAGCCGCCAAAAGCCGCATTTGTTTGTTTATTTTCATCTTCCCGTTTTACAAATAAGGAAACTGAGGCTTCAGACAGTCGATTCCTCACCAGCGTCCCTGTGCTCAGCCTACGGGGCAGGGCTTCCAGTGTCCAGCGCAGGGATTTTGCAAGATGACCCTTCTGTTTGGTTGGGGTTCTGCCTGCACCCTCAGTGAAAGTCGTGGGGGAGGACGACTCTGCCCATCTGCGTCCCGCCTGGGAGAGCTCCAATGCCAGGGCAGGCACCCAGGTACCCAGGTAGGTTCACCCGGAACCCGAGGCCGTGGGGTCCCAGGCCCCAGGCACTTGGTCAATGCCAGCGGCTCTGCAATGCCCCGAGTGGGAACCCTGCATCAGAGGGGAACAATTCAACACCCCAAACACATGCTGGGAAAATGGAGACTCACCAGAAGGCAGGACACACTGTGGGGGGAGGCGGGTCTGTGCTTCCCCCGAGGGGAGCCCTGGTCTTTCCCAGCAGACACACTTCCAGCAGGGCACACGCCGTGGAGACAGGCGGGGGGCACTGCGGGCCCCCCGTCACTGTCAGCAGAGCAAGCCTCCACCCCAGCTGGAGGCCTCCACGAGCCTCCAAGCCCCTTCCCAGCCTGACAGTCTCCTCCGGCCTGGGGAGCAGACGGAAGTGAGGTTTCTGCCCATCTCTGCCTGTTGAAAGGGCCTCTCACAGGAAAAGGCTCAAAAGGATCCTTGGAGCACATTTCTTCTACAAAAAGAAATAGAAAAAGTGAAACCAGGAAGGCAGGAGGGAGGGAGGGAAGGGGCAGGGGGAGGGAGGGCTGTTCATAGTCTGACTTTGAGCACACCTTTGGAAATAAGTGACAGGGAAGGTGTGAAGTATAACCAGCGCACAGAGACGTACTGAAAACAAACAAACGAAGACCCTTCCCTCAGCTGCCAGAGCCCAGGAGAAACGGGAGGAAGGGGCTGGTCCAGGGCGGCCTCAGTCCAGCCCCACACGCAGCGCGCAGGCACCTGGTGGCTGGGGGGGCTCACAGGAGCCCGTGCAAAGCAGGGTGGCCAGTGGAGGTGAGCTCCGTGCACGGCGCTTTCAAGAAGCGCTCCCAGCCACCCCCTCATCGCACGAGGAACCCGGCCCAGCTGCTCACTGGAGCCGCCAGGCCCCATTCAAAGGCCTTCAGACCTTGCCAGGGCTGTCAGGGCCCCGGCCATGGCCACACCAGCCCTGGGGGCTTGCAACGTGCAGTGTCTTTAGCTCACGGTGGTCGGCCTGGCTTCCAGGCTCCCTGCTCCAGCCTCTCAGCACCGTCCCTCCAGTGGCTCCTCCACTGAGGCCCAGACCTCCTGCAGTGGGGTCTGCCACTCAGGGAAGACAGTGAGCCCTGGGGTCAGGAGAAGGGGCTCCTGCCTGGGACCTGCTCATTATGTGGGACTCAGGGATGGACGATGCTTTGGGGAAACTGGCCATCATGAGCTTGTGCACACGGACACCATTGCTGACGCGCACCAGGCTGCAGGAAGGGGGCTCCCCCGAGATGCAGGGAAGGTTCTGGAGCACCTACCCTGGGGACAGGCACAGGAAGACGCCAGGAAGCAGGGAACCAGCACAGCAAGGGGGCGAGATACCAGGCTGCAGGAAGGGGGCTCCCCGAGATGCAGGGAAGGTTCTGGAGCGCCTACCCTGGGGACAGGCACAGGAAGACGCCAGGAAGCAGTGAACCAGCACAGCAAAGGAGCGAGACTCAGCGATTAGACGGCTCGGCAAGGGGGGCTTTGAGGCGCAAATCCACGTTCCAAGGGGGTCAGAGCTGCTGGAAGGAGCGTGGCTCTCAGCCAGGGGGCTTGCTCCTCCTGTAGAAGGAGTCCTGGGGGCCCAGCTCCAAAGCCCCAAATCTAACTGGTCCAAAACATCACTGTCAGCATCTCCGCACCTGTCTCGCCCATCCCAGTAAGAGACGCCCCGCTCCCCCGAAGACTCAGGTCAGAAAGCAGGGGCTCGCCTTGGATCCCTCAGCCCAAGCACCAGCTCACCCACTGCCCTCAGGGTATGACCGTCGTGCCCCCGCAGGACGGGAGCAGCATCCTGCTGGTCTCCTGGCCTCCACCTTCACCCTCCACAGAAGATCGAGTGATCCTATTACAACAGGTCAGAACACACCTCCCCTCTACTCCCACCATGCCCCTCTGACCTCGCCCACCCCCCTCACTGGCCTCCGCTGGAGCACGCACACCGGCCACGTACCTGCCCCAACTGCCGGCATGCCCCTCCCCTCTACCCGCGATGCCCTCCGCCACCGGGCTCCCGACTCCCCTGCTGCCTCTGGGATTCGCTGTCTTATCAAAGAGGCAAAGCAGTGGCCACCCTTCCCTTTGATTCCTCACCCGATTGGCTGTCCCTCAGGGCTCAAGTGTGTGTGTGTGTGTGTGCGTGTGTGCGTGTGTGTGTGTCTTTTCCGTGCACAGGCTACCACATACAGAGCCCCGGAGTGCAAAGCTGGCTGACATCCGGGACTTGGTCAGTTTTGCTCCAGGGTTTTCTGGAAGCACCCAGAACAACTCACGATATCAGCAAGTCCTTTCCAAACATTTGCAGGATTCATTTAAATTAGGGTACAGACTGAGGGTCTGGAGTGAGGGTGAGGGACATGGTGTCTGCTGGGAGGTCTGAGAGCCCTTGGGAAGGAGTTCAGCCTCAAAGGGGGTGAACTGGTGACAGTTTATGTCCTGATCAGCCTCTCTGTGAAGCAGGCCGTGCCGGCCGCATAACAAATGAACCCTCAGGACGTAAGGGCTAAGCTGTGGCAGATGCGTCACCCCCTGCCTGGTGGGAAGCTGGTCCCGAGGTTCAGCGGCGATCCTCCCACCAGATTTCTCGGCCCCAGTTCCCTCTGTCTAAAAACCAGGACTTCAAGATAACAGCCCACATCAGTGCCAGGGGGCACAAATGAGGGAAAGAGCACCAAGGACCCCACAAGAGGAATTTTATATGAGCCGGGCCCCACTCACCCCACAGTGGCCAGACCTCAACTGTGTGGCCACACCATTCCTCTAAAGGTGGCCTGGCTGTGCCCACTGCTGGTCTAACCAGACCATGAAGGGTCAGGGCAGGCCTGGACCCCAGAAGGGCTGTTGCCTCTTCAGATATGCCATGACGAGTCTGGGGTCTCCTGGGGGACTCCTGGGATCCCCACCTGCCAGCGAGGGGCCACGTTACTAGGACAAGAAGTATGGACACCTCTCTGCATTTCAGGTGAGGTGACCCGTTGGTTTTCTGGGCTTTTTTTTTTTTTTTTTTTGTGGTACATGGGCCTCTCACTGCTGTGGCCTCTCCCGTCGCGGAGCACAGGCTCCGACGCGCAGGCTCAGCGGCCATGGCTCACGGGCCTAGCTGCTCCGTGGCATGTGGGATCTTCCCGGACCGGGGCACGAACCCGTGTCCCCTGCATCGGCAGGCGGACTCTTAACCACTGCGCCACCAGGGAAGCCCTTCTGGGCATTTTACATCGATGATCATCAAAATGGGCAGAGGCAGGTGAGCTGCTGATGCCTGGGCAAGTGGAATTGGCGTCCAAGGAGAAAGGGGGAGCCAGCTGGAGCTTCACGGGGGTGGTGGTGGGGAGATGAACTGGCCTTTGGTGAAAGCATGACAGGGAGGTACCTGCAAGGAGAGAGGAGGGGAAATTCTAGTCGCCTCGCAGTGCCCTGGCACCCCTCCAAGTTCTTCCGTAAATTCCACACGTCCAGACGTGAGTGCTTTAGGAGGAGAGGGAGGTGCACAGAGGAAGGTGAAGGGACCAGGTGGTCCTTCAGTCCCTCTCCCAACTGACAGCGCGACGTGATAGCTGCCGGGAGCTCGGGGCAGCCCCCAAGGTGGGCAGGTGCAGGGACGTCCACTCTGCCGCTATAAGGGCAGCCCCCCGCCCCCCGACGGAGCACCGACACTTCACGGCCCCCTGGCTTCCGGGCTTTATCGCCCGGGGTTTGGCCTGCTGTCACCAGAACTGCTACTGGATGGCTCAGTGGCCTCCGGGGCATCCTTGATTAAACTCCAGCCCTAGCGGAAGTGTCCCAGGCAGTGCTGGTGGGAAGAAACCATAGCCATTTTAAGGTCTGAAAGCGGCTTGCGCTCCTGTTTATCAACCTTCCTGGAAGGGCCACCACTGAGTCCCTTCAGAGTCCCCATGCCCCACCCCGAAGGGAAAGGTGCTTCTCAGCTCACCCGGGACCTCCAAGGAGGGGGCTTCACCAAATCCAAGTTCTTCGAGAGGGAAAAGAAAACGAGGAGAACAATCCTTTCGCTTAATCTGCTGGTTTTTGTTGCATCCAAGCCATCTCTGCTGCCGAGGGACACTGTCGCCTCCCACCCAGCACACGCAAACCCCAGGGTCACCGTGATGCTTCAGACAAACGCCTTGCGGACCTGCAGGGAACGGGTCGTCTGTGGAGAAGGCTGGAGCCATGCGGGCGGGTGAGGGAGCGCTGAATTAGCGCCACATCACATGGCCCCCCACTGTGGGCTGATGCTCCTGGCAGCGCCCTGAGAGGCTCCCCAAGCTCTCGGGGGACCCCAGATCCTGCCGGGATTCCTGAGCTTCCCATCCAGGGCCCTGACCCACCCCCCCCGTCTCCGGCTCTCCACAGCATGCTGGGAACGCCCTGCCGGTGCCCTGCACCCGGCCCAGGGCTCCCCCGTCCTCTGCACCCTTTCTCCTGCTCCGGACCTGGCCCACGGCCGGGCCCTGCTTCCCGGAGAGATGGTCTGGGTCAAAGCTCTCTGGACAGCGAGTGTCTCTTGGCCGGGGGTCTGGGGTGTGAGTTCTTGGACCCTCGGGCAGACGGCTGATTCCTGATACACGGCTTGGCCGCATCTCGCATCTGAGATGCATCGTTAGCTCTTCTGAGCCTCAGTTTTCCTACCTGGGACAATGCAGCTACAGCCGGGATTGCCTGGGGACTCAGGGAGTACGAGAAGCGCTCCACACCGCTCCTGACCCGCGGGAGTACTGGTTTTCCCGCCACCCGCTGGCTGTGCTCCTGGAGGAGCCGCGGGCATCCAGACGCCCACGCCGCCGGGCACAGGCCCCGGGCCTGGGGGGCGCGGCCGTGCTGCGGGCACGTGACACTCACCTGCATGCGGCCGACTTGGCACACGCGCAGCGGCTTACCTGGCTCCAGCCTGCCTCCGGGCCCCGCCGTGCCGGCCCCACCAGCCCGCCCGGCAGTTCCCTGCTCGCCTCCCCGCACGTCCACCCGTGGACTGTGCTCGCCTTGGGAGGGGCTGGAGGCCTGGCGCCCGGAGCGGCCCAGGCAGGCGCAGACACTGTCTCCCCGCCCCGGAGGCCTTGTCTTCCCTCCGCCTCCCTGGCAGCTCGCTCCCTCGCCGCACACCCCACCCCTCCCGGCAGGCTCCTTTTCCACAGGTCACCTGTGCGCTGAGCTTACACGCCCCTCAATCTGCTCCCCATCTGAGGAGACGTGTCTCGTCCACTTTGGTTGCTTTGTCTCCTCACAGCACGTGACAACTGGTCTGCGTTAAAGGGATGTTTGTGGGATGAGTGAATGAATGAATGAATGAATGAATGAATACAATTACTGTACTGGTGGAAATTTCCAGTCTCCTGGAAGGGTGATGTGGTGATATTCTGAGCCCCTTAAAATCTTGGTGAGGGCTTCCCTGGTGGTGCAGTGGTTGAGAGTCCGCCTGCCGATTCAGGGGACGCGGGTTCATGCCCCGGTCCGGGAAGATCCCGCATGCCGCGGAGCAGCTGGGCCCGTGAGCCATGGCCGCTGAGCCTGCGCGTCCGGAGCCTGTGCTCCGCAACGGGAGAGGCCACAGCAGTGAGAGGCCCGCGTATGGCAAAAAAAAAAAAAATCTCGGCGAGCAGGCAGGTGACTTTGAGGGTGAAAGGCAGGTCCAGCCGATGCCGGTGGTCCCTGGGGCTCTTTCCTATCCACGTGTCCAGGGAACGACCCGGACCCATCCGTCTCAGGCAGCGGTTCTGGGCTTTGGCTGCATTGTCATCACCATGCCTGGAGCTGGGCTCCCACCAGAGATTCTGACTCATCTGGCCTGGGTGCAGCCTGGACGGCGGGGAACCAGGAGCTCTCGGACGGTTCTGACCAGCAGCCAAGGTGGCGAAGCACCATCCAAGGTGACCTCGCCCAGCACCCGGGGCCATCAGGGGCCGCTGCAGCCTCCCCCGTGCCTCCCGCAGGCCCCCTTCCCACATCCCTGCCTGTGAGCAGAGAAGCCTTTGCCCTCGCCGCCATGGAGGGGGGCAGGAAGCAGAGCGGGGCAGCCGGCGGCCTGGGCGGCTGGCGGCAGGCAGTACCCTCCTGACCCCCGTGCTCCTGGGGGCAGCCAGGTTCTCCCCGTCAGCCTGACAGTGAATCCGTGTCTTCCGAGCTTGGCTTCCAGCCACGTCCAGAACTCCGGGAAGACAGCGTTCCCGTTAGCCGCTCTCGTGAATCAGGCCTGGGAGAGGAGCCTGGGCTGCATGCACAGCGGGGACCACCCAGCACCACCTGAGCCCACCGTGAGCACAGCGCCTCCACCCTGGGACTCAGAAGAGATGGGAGGGCTCCCCTGGTGGCACAGTGGTTGAGGGCCCGCCTGCCAATGCAGGGGACACGGGTTCATGCCCCGGTCCGGGAGGATCCCACATGCCGCGGAGCGGCTGGGCCCGTGAGCCATGGCCGCTGGGCCTGCGCGTCCAGAGCCTGTGCTCCGCAGCGGGAGAGGCCACGGCAGTGAGAGGCCTGCGTACCGCAAAAAAAAAAAAAGAAGAGATGGGAGACGCAGGCTCTGAGCTCGAGAGACACCCCGCAAACATCACTGCAGGAGGCGGGCGGGCTGCAGAACGCAGTTAGATTCTACTTGCTTCATTGCCCAAAACCTCCTAGTGGCTCCCCGCAGCCAGCCACAGCCCACGCTCGCAGTTTAACACGGGAGCCCCTGCCACCTAACCCTCAGCGACCCAGCTCCGGGACCACCACCCACCCTGCGTGCACAGCACAGATACACACTCTCCTGGCTCCAGACACACAGCGCCCCTCGTCCCTCGCTCACGCTGCCCGGGCGGGGTACAGATTTTGGAGTCTCAACTGTGTCTCTTGGAATCTGACTTGAACCAGGCCCTGACAGCTCCAAGAGGCCCATCCGCACACACACACACACAGACACATGCATACATGCATGCACACACACACACATGAACACACACACACATGAGCGCGCACACGTATACAAGCCCACACAGGTGCATGCACACTCACCCACATGCACACATGCGTGCACACACACAAGCACACACATGCACCCGTGCTTTGGGGTCTCTGCACTTGCTCCTTCCTCACCCTGAAATACCCATGCCTCAGTGCTGTGTGCTGTCCCCATGCGCCTCCCCAGTTTCGGCTGGACCCCCGGGCCCCGGGCCCCCATCACCGACACCTCCGCCCAGCGCTCAGAACAACACGGCCCAGTGTCACAAGTGCACATCCCACATTCCACCGTTGCCACTATTGTTTAAAACAATCCTTCCTCCCTCGGATTCTAAGTGCCCTGGAGGCAGGCGGTATTTGACAGGTCCCTCTCCCTTCCCAGCGTCCAGCACAGGCTCCCCCAAAACCAGATATAAATAAGTATGGATTTAAAACGTTCTTATTTTTAAAGAACCATAATTTCATATTATCCCAGGCTGTCTTATTTTCTAATATTAGAGGAAAGAAAACACTTTCAAGAAAACCCTTGCTCACCCTGAAGTCTGAATGGGTCTGGACAGGTCTCTTTTATAGGACCTAAAGGTGCAGCCGATGCCCATCTTGACTTTATCATGTTAAGCCCCATCTCTGGACACCCACCGAGAGCTCTAAGCTGGTGGAGCAGTGCCTCTGCTGATGGGCATCTTCTGTGGGTTTGAACCTGGACAGCCCACCGAGAGCTCTAAGCTGGTGGAGCAGTGCCTCTGCTGATGGGCATCTTCTGTGGGTTTGAACCTGTTCTGAGCACTGCTGCTTCCAGGCCTCCAACAAGGTGGAAGACGGGGTTACTCACCCCAGACGTTGTTGCTGGGACTAAAGTAATTTGGCACTCAACGTAAATTCGTGCTCACATGATGTGTCTCTTTCTCCTACAAGTAGAGGGCAGCCTCAAATGCAGGTTCATGGAAACATCTCATGTTTTCCCAGACAATGGGAGTTTTGGATGTCTTTCTAGTTGATGCGTGTTTACCCCACAACAACAGCTGGATCCACATTTAATGCAGAGCCGCACACGGTTCCTCATAGAATCGCTCTACATGAGGAATCACACAGCAACGTGGAAGCTGGAGTCAGGTGTCAGTTCAAGCCCTGGTTCCTCATCGTATTGCTTAGGAGCCTTCGGGGAGACTCAAGCTCTTTGAATCGCTCTTGATCTGTAAAATGCGTCTAAAGACACCTGTTCTATTTATTCCATAAACTTGCTTCAACGACCAAGATAACGCAAGTGAGAGCGTTACTGAGGTATCCTCTGCAACAAGGAATCATCTCTAACCGACAAGATCACACAGCACAGAGCAGGTGCTCAGGGACGCTCGTCGTTCCCCTCCACGGAAAACCTGCGTGGCTGTTACAGGAGCGAGAGCAGAGCCGGCCACCCTCCGAGGCAGCGCTGCATCCCAAGGCCATTGCCCAGAGGCCTCTTGTCAACAGCCACTTTCACCAGTGCTCGCCCAGGGCTCGGGTCAGAAATCTCGTCAGCAGTTCTCAGCGTCCCCGGGTGTCGCTTCGAAAGCCCCTGAATTTACGGCCAGTTGATCAGACATGTGGCGACCTTGGGCTTGTGCCTGGCGTCTGGAGTGGGAGAGTCGTGTGGGTCTGAGCCCCGACCCGGCTGGAGGCTGACACGGAGGCCGGGCGGTTAGGTCAGAGCTGAACTGACATCAGCTGGAGTCGCAGAACTGTCGTTGGAAAAGCGCACCTGCACCTCCGGCCCAGAGCCTGGCCCTGCCCGCCCGGCTGTTATGGCCCGACTCCTCTGTCATCCTCCAGCAGGCCGCACAGGGTCCTCGCTCCATCGCCGCGCCGGCGGTCAGCTCCCGGCTCTCACAGCACTTCAGGGCCTCCCACCACCTTCAGGACAAAGGCCAGGTCCGTAACGGTCACAAGAGTCTCTAAGAAGAGACCCCCGGCCTTGGCGTTGGGGCGCGAGCGGTGCTCGGTCGCCGCACTGGCAGCGGCCAGGCCTGGTCCAGGGCTGTGGCCCTCTCTCCTGTCCCCAGGTGTGGTGTGATGGGTGATCCCATGCGTTGCCCTGACTGGCCACGGGCCGCCCAGAGATCTGCTCAGTGTGACTTCTGTCAGCCTGTGAGTGAACTGAGCTCGTCCGCCCAGGGAGGGCCTGGAGAGAGCAAAAGGGCAGGGAGAGCACAAAGTCTCTCTCTCTGCTCACGCCCAGGCGTCTGCCTTCTCCCGCCCTCGGACCTCGGTGCCTTGGGTCTCTGTTTTCAGGCTCAAACAGGGCCTTACCCCAGCAGCTCCGCAGGCTCTGGGCCCTCGACTCAGACTGCGTTGTCCTGGCCTCTGGCTTGCTGACCGCAGGTGGGCCCTGGGACTCCTCGGCCTTCGTAATCGCGAGACAGCTCCCGAAATGCTGTGCTGTGTCCCGTTCAGGTGCACTTATATGTATATATACCTCCGGTTGGTTCTGCTTCTCTGGAGACCCCTGGCCACCACACGCCACCGTGCCACAGAAAGCCCCAACCAGGTCCAGGCGGTTATAGGTTCAGGGTTTCCTGGGACAGAATCCAATCCATGCAGATTGCGCGTGCTGGGCAAGCAGAACGGGGGACTCGGGATGCTGTGCCCCTTGTTCTAGCTGACGCGACCAGGGAATCCCCAAGCCCAGGGTCCCACCTCCCCGATCCCCATCACGTCACCGCAAAGCTGTTGTCTCCGGCCGCCGGCCGCCAGGGGGAGCCCTCTCAGACCCCACTCCAGTCTCGCGGTCACATGTGTCTCGTCTCCGAGAAGCAGCCTCCACGCCCCCTTCCCCACGATGATGTTGCTCTCCCCGACTCCTCAGCAAGCCCGAAACCCCCTCCCCTCACCTACCCAACTCTTCCGAGACGTCTCCCCTGCCTGGCCGCCATCCTCAGGAAGCTTTCCGCGAATCCCCTCCAGGGGGGAGCTGCCCCACTTCACCCTCACATGCCCTGGGCCCACAGCCAACACGTGAGAATTTGCCCAACTCACCTCTTCGTTAAGAAGTGTGTGACTCTCCTCCGAGGCCTGGGTGCCTCCCGGGAGAGATGCTGCATCATAGTTTGCACCCTTCCTGCGCCTTAGCGCCCTGCACACTGGAGCGCTAACACTGCACATCCGACAAAGGTGTGCTGAGCTCAGCCAAGAGTGAGCAAGAACTAAAGGATGGGCAGGAACCAGAGCTTTGGCCGAGCCCAGATTACCACAGCCTACCTGCAGCCAGCCAGGAACCAGCGCTGTGCTCCAGGGCCCACCAGGCACCACTGCCAAGATATCACATAACCATCGCCCTGTTCCAGGGCTGCTACTAACCCAGCTGCCCCCCACCCCCAGATTACGAGCCCTCCAGGGTAAAAGCACCACCCCTGTGGGTGTCTGACTCACCCCTGTATCTTCCAGGAGGGGGACTAGGGACCAGGAAGCGCCCCACACATGGGCGTGGCTGAGTCAGGTACCGAGGGCGGGTACCGCCCACAGCTGCGCTTCGTCTCTCATCCCCATGGAGGCAAGAGGAGCCTGGACTTGGCGTCCAGAGGCATTGACTTGGAGCTGGTCCATCAGCGGGGCTCTGCACACCGGCACCCTTGCTGTCCGCCCCTGCCACAGCTGGCAGATGGCTGTGTGCAGAGCCGACCTCAGCGACATACCCTGGTCACAGAGGCCTGGTCACTGCTCTGCACCAACCCCGCCCCGTGGTCACATAAGTAGTGTCCTAAGACCACTCACTCGCTGACAGACTGTGTGCTTCAATTCCGGATGTTGCCACTGACAGCTCAGTCTTTGCAGGGTTCGTTAGGTTTGGCTGTTCATCGAATCCGCCTAATTTCCAGCTATGCCCTGTCCTGTCGGAAAAAAATGATAATGTGTAACGATTACACAGTTCGCTTGTTTAATGGAAAACAGATGTGTCATCATTCTCTTGCTGAAAATGGCTTTACCTCCAGAGAGTGCTCTGCACGTCCTGTAGCGGCCCTGGTGTGGGGTCCACGTTCCGCCCAAACCACTCATCAGACCCAATATCCCTCCTGCGCCATGGGAGTCCGTCTCTGAGCATTGCTTTTGTTGGGTGTTTTCTGTGGAAAGAAACACCCAACGTGTTTCTTGCTCAAGGTGAACATTCTTGTTCACCAAGAACGCTCATTGGCATTGGGTGAAGAAAGGGTTCCAAGGCCAAGTGTGTGAGAGGATGGACTTGAAAATTAAGTGTATGTATTTAATGCAGTACTGGTCCAAGATGTAAATGTACGGTCTCAACTGGGGACCATCGGTGAGGGGAGTGCAGGGTGCAGCGCTCCACAAAGCTGTCTGTCCCTAGCAGCCCCTCTGCCCCCACCCCGTTATTGGAGACCAGCTGCGGGGACAGAGGTCTGGAGAGCATCCTTGCAGGATCAGTGCCGTCACCTCTCCAGCTCATGGTCAGAAGGTGACACGTAAGCAAAGATGGTGCCACATTCCTCCACGCCTCTGACATCTCTTCATCCAATCATCCAATACTTCCTAGCAGCTTCTGTGTGCCCAGACGGTCTTCGGTCGGGCTGTCTGGCAGCCGGCCCTGAAGATCTGGTCTGTGTACAGGTGCATCGTTAAGGAAGTGCCCCCCAGAGGAAATCTGCCTGGAGCAGGGCACATAAGACAGGATTAGGGGGCCAAGCACGGGTGTCCTCAGAGGGTGGCTGGGGCTGGCCCGGTGGAGAGGGCTCCAGGGGAAGGCATACCTAGGTGTCCCCAAGTCTCAGGGTGGGGCAGCCATGCTGCCACACCAGCAGGTGGGAGGGGAGGGTCTGCAGGACATGGGGTGGCAACGCTCCACGCCTCCAGCCCTGCATCAGCCTCCCGTCTCTCTGTACACACAGCGCCCTCCCAGCTGGAACCCACCCCCGTCTGCCCCAGAGGGGCCCGGTGTGTCCTGAGCTCTCTGCCGTCACGAGTCCCGTTTTGCTAGGACAGTGGCGTCTGCCTTCTCCCTCTGGATCCCGCACAGCTGCTGGCGAGGCACATCTCTCAAGGCGGACCCTGGGGTCGGGCAAGAAAGGTGAGGGATAAACTCTCCAGGCACCGGCTGTGGGGAGTGAGGGCGGCCTGATGAGTCCAAGGAAGCGCTCTCTGCTTTCTGAGGCATCTGAGGAGGAAACCACGAAATGCAGACAACAGGGTTTCAGCGTCGTTTTGCCACGAGGTCAGGGGGACCTCGGTTCCATCATAACTGCATTTCTGAAGCTCTACAGTCTCCAGAAGACCAGACTCGATCATTCAGTTTGGAGGCCCTAATGTCCCTCAGAAGCTGAGAGGAACTCATTCAATTTTACCAGCACTTCTCGGAAACCTGCAGACGCCACCAGAATATGTTAGGCTGGTCCAGACCGTCAGGACGGACAGCCCTCTTGAATCCACATGGATATTTCTGTTTTCGCAGACACAGCCATCTGTGATTCTGTTCCAGACGGCGGAGAGCCACCAAATTGAATTCCTGCCCCACGATCACTTCCCAGAAGCAGCTCTGGGGCAACTCCCAGCCCCACACAGAAGCGGGAGCCCTCGGGGGCCCTGAGGAGGAAACCAGTGCACTGGCCTCGCCCTGGGTCTCTCCCCCTTGCCAGCCCCCGAGCTTTGGGGGAAAACGTGAGCAAACACACAAAGGAGGTGAAACCAGGCGTGTCCCTGGGCTCCGCTGCGGCCCCTACCTGGCTGGAGATGTCCCTCAGATGGGGCATTAAAAGGACTCACGTGGGGCAAGGTCGTACCCAAAACCCAACGTTCATCTGCCTAGTGTTTTTGACCTTATTCCAGGCACCAGGCACAGTTCCCGCTGAAGGGCTTTAACGGGAAAGATGCCACAAGGGCCTAGCATCACCCGGTGGGTGTCCACTGGCCGTGAGGATGGGGACAAAACAGTCAATGCAGAGCCTCAGTGTGTGGCTTTGGTGACCAGGAGGGCAGCGAAGGGCCTGAGTGGCCTCTCCCTGGAGCTGAGGTCTGAGCGGCTGGACCCGCTGGGCCCACATCGGGGCGGACGGCGTCTGCCCAGGGAACAGTCAGTGCAGGGCCCCAGCTGGAAGCCCCCTGGCATGTCTGAAGGACTATGTAAGCCAGGAAGAGGACTTCAGGTTTTATTTGAGTAAAATTAGAAGCATTAAAGGGCTATAAGCAGAAAGGCACCATCATGCAGTTTATGCTTCTGCAAAGCTCTCCTGGCTCCGTGGAGCACAGGTGTGGGGCAGGAGGGGAGGTGGAGGCAGGTGAGCAGGCCGGACGCTGTCCTGGGTCAGATGAGGGCGTGGCCAGGACCGGAACAAGGCGGGGGCTTTGCGGGTATTTGGCGGAGGGTGTCACAAGAATGACAGATGGATTTGAATTTCGGGGGACAGGGTGTTTTAGTTTACACGGCTTAGAGGATGCTGGCCAGCTACAGAGACTAGGGGACACGCGGGAGAGGAAGATTTGCTTCTTGGGGGCTCGGGATGCACCGACGTTTTACCGTGGGAAAGCGATCCGCTCTGACTGTGAGGCAGCAGGCGCCTGGCTGTGACCCCACGCCTGGCTCCCCCGGGTGACCTGGGTGTGTGTGCTCCATGGCCCCAGCTGGGATGACAGGGGCCGCCCCACATGGAAAAGATGCTCCTTCAATGAGACCGTCATCCATGCCTGGAACTTCGCCTGCTCCTCTGCTGTGGGCAGCAGGACGGGGACCCTGAGACGGGGTGAAGCTCTGAGGGTGGGTGTGATACGTCACAGTTCACACAAAAGCCTACCCCCATCCACTGTCTCCTCAGTTAAGATGAGAAGAGGGGGCGTTGCCCAGGGAAGGAGAAAGAAGTCCATGGGGGCGGTGATGCATCAAGAACAGAGAGAAACTCGAGATTCTAGTGGAACGAAGAAATGAACAGTAAAAAATGAAGAATCATGAAACAATGGGAAAACAATGGACTAATTCAACAAATGGCACTGAGAATTGTCTAAAGGGGAAAAATTCAAATGCCAGGCTTTGCTTCACTTCACACAAAAAGTAAATAGAAAGCTGTAAAAACAAACTAAAATCCTATAGAATGCAGGTGGTTGCCATGTGTTTCCTAAAGAGCCTGGGAGCTAGAGAGTGAGGTGAGAGTGTTGGGTTCTAGGTCAGACAAATTCAGGTTCCACTCCAGGACCCATTACATGTGACGTCAGGAAGCTGCTTCAGTTCCTTGCACTTCAGTTTTCTTATGTAAAAAGAAGAGAAAAGGTATCACAAAGACTAAATAAAATACTCCCTCTAAAGCACATAGCATGTAGCTGGCAGGTTGTAAGCACCCACTTTATGTCAGCTATATTACCGTAACTGTATGTATTTTATAAAAATTTTCAATAACGAGGAAATTATTATTTTTGCCAGACAGTCCTCAGACCTTCAGAACCTTCCATCTCTCCGATGCCCATTGTGGTATAGTCAGATGAGCTTCGGGCACCCAAGCACCCACTGCAGGCTCAACAACTCCAAAGGCAGTCTCCTGACGAAGGATCCCGTCGGGGGTCTTCGTGGTGACGTGTCAGGTCCAGAGCTATGAGTCCCCAGCTCTGGCATGAACATCTTGGCTAGGAGGGGCTGGGAGGAATGGGAGGGGGTTAGGGATCCCGTGGTGGGCCCCGTGCTCTGTGATTTACAGACCAGATGCTGCTAAATCTCCATGACAACCCAGCCAGGAAGGCACTGCGATCTCTACCTGACAGATGCGGAGGCCAAGGGTAAGTGGGTAACCCATGGCGGGTCAGTGCTGAGATTAGATGCAGAAGGATCCCCGGCCGAGCCTGTTCACTCTGACACATTCTCCTTCACTCTTGGGCGGAGCTACTGCTCCAGTCAGGCCCAGAGCCAGGGGAGCAGTGGGTCACTCGCACAGAACCTGGGCCAGCAGGAGACCCTGGCCCCAGGCAGACCCCTAGACCAATGTTGCAGGAGTGTGGAGACGCTCAGGTGTGGGGGGACGGCAGTGACAATTTGAACTCAGCGTGGGCAGGGTCAGGGAGACTCTCATTTTAAGGAGACTTTTTAAAAAAAGAAAAAGCTAGGTTTCCTTTAAAAAGAAAATTGTATAGTACATGCAATAAATAGGCTTTTGAAAACCTATAAAGGCTGTTCCGACACAGGCTGGCGTCATCCACCCCAGGGAGCGCCTGGGCCCCTGGGGAGCTTGGGTGGAGTACAGCCCGTCTCGAACCCCCAGTTTCTGGTGGGCGGAAATCGAGGATGCCAGATGGGGCGGTCCCCAGGATCCACGCCCCAATTCCAGGACGAACTTGATTGTGAAATAAGTCAGAGCCCACCTGTGCTGAGGGTGCGCTCGTGGATCTCAACCCCGCTCCTTATTCCCCAGAGTCAGGGTCCCACGGGTCCGAGGCCTGAGCACACGCAGTGCCGTGTGAGCGGGCGGGGGGCCCCTGTCCTAACACTCAGAGTGACGAGAGCTGAGGCCACGGAAGGAGGTAGCTGCCCACGCCACTGTGAGGGGCAACCACGAGACCAGCGTGTCAGCCACCACCCGGAAGGACGGTACCTTCAACAAGCTGATACTCCAGCCGGAGGGAGCAGACGGCAAACCGGCCAAGCAGGGGTGGTTCCCATCGCAGCCCCCAGCCAGGACCCAGGCCTTGAGCTGTTTCCCCAATTCCGGCTGCAGGGCTCCCGGTGCGCAGTTCTGTGTCCCACTGGGGTGACTTGTCAGCCTCCCCAACCCTGCGATCTCACCCAGGGCGCCTGAGCCACCTCTGTGCTGGCCAGTACCGCAGTGTAATCCGTCCCGCAGCGACGACCTTATTTAGGCGATAGAATATTATAACTCAGATAGCTGCAGGATGGCCTATCTGTGCAGCACAGATAACGTATTTTCTGTCAACTACACCGTGAACCAGTTTTTCACCTCATTTTTTTTTAGATCAGAAGTAAATGGAAAAGGGGACGACAGTATAAGATCTTGGTGGCAGCGGTGACTGAGTGTCTGTTCCTCGGAAGGGAGAGCTGACTCATGGGGGCCGCACGTTGTGAAGATGTTTGTGCAGGAGGGTCTGGCCCAGCCCATGGGAGGTCGTGGCCTGTGGGAAAAGAATAAAGCTCGTGGCAGTACCAGCAGAATCAGGGCTCCCAATTTCCAGGGCGCGGAGAGGGGCACGGAGCGACACGAATTCGGAGGAAGGTGAGGAAAACCGTGTATGGCTGGAGACTAAAGGTCCTCAGCGCTGTGTGGTAACCACCTAAGGGTTTACCCTCACCTGAAGTTTACCCCGAGTTTCCTCCAGAAGACTGTACCCGTCCATCGCCAGTTAATGCGAAACATGTCTTTCTGTTTGCAGACGTCTGAAGAAAGCGTGCCTGAGACATGGCCCAAGGCCAGGCCCGGGTCTGGGTACCATGTCCAGGCTGCTGCCGGGGTCCCTGCAGGAAGCGGCGGGCCCTTCCCACCTAACCGCCTCGGCAGCTTCCTCGGGGCCGGCGCCCTGGAGCCACACGCCTGGACTAACGGCCCCGTGGAAGCGACGAGCCAGAGACCTCCTCTAAGTATCAGCAACCACACCGCACGCTCCGACCGTGGACCTGCATGTGCGGCCCCGCCGGCGGGAGGGCTCTGTGCCGAGACCTGCTCACCGGCAGGGCCTGGGGGAATAGAGGGAGGCGGCTAGCGACGAGGGACAGGACGGATGGAGGGGGACGAGGGGACAAGGGGGCCGGGGGGTGGTGCATCTCCACCCTGGAGCTCAGCAGACAGAAGCCCGCCCCCCCCCGGCCCGGGCTCGGCCTCCAAGACGTTCCTCGTCCCTTCGGGCAGCACCTTCCCACCACCCTCTGCCCTTCTCAGGCCATCTGGAGGCTGCGCTCCAGCCCTGAGGGACCCCACATGCCCCAGCCGGCCAGCCAGGCTCACCTCGTCTGGGAAACACCTGCTGACGAAAGCAGCCCTTGGCGCTACCTAAGCCCTGAACGCAGGGACACCAGCCCTGGCCCCTGGGGTCCCGCCTGCCCTGAGGTGGCCTCTGTCCCCAGCCGGGCAGGTGGTCTGCCTTCCAGAAGGTCAGCTGGGAAGCACAGTGGGTGGTTCTGCACCCAGCTCTACAGAGAGTGCCCAGGTCCCCGAGGAGCAGGGCCTCAGACACTGAGCCCCTTGTCCCAAGAGCCTCATGGGTCCCGTCAGCCCCATCACACTCAGGAAGTGCCCACGCCCCTCCGCGTCGCCCGTGTGTTTGTATCTCATCCCCTCCACCTCCATCCCCATCGTTGTGGCGTTCAGCCAGCTGTGCTTTTGCACCTGCCCTGGTCGGTTGCCAAAATCTTGTCCCCTCCTCCCGATGGAAAACACGTCTATTCAGTCTTCCAGAGCCAGCCTGACCATCACCTCCTGACAGGACACCCACCCCACGGAAAAGCTCCCCCTCAGGCCTAGTACCGTGCGTTTCTGATGGCAGGCGGAGCCAGGCAAAGTGTGGACTCAAAGGACAACCTGCCACCCTCAGCCGGCAGCACCATGGGTGCCGGAGGGCAGGGACGGGACAGTGCAGGGCAGCTCCGCTGAAGGGTCCCCATCGGATGGAGACGTGCTCCCAGTAGCCCCCTAAGAAACGCACAGACTGCGAGCGGAGCTGATCCGTGGATCGGAGCTTGGAACCCAGGGCATCACAGGATGGTCAGAGTTGCACAGGCCGCACCCAGCCTGCTGTCCATCCCAAAGGCGTTACCTGCAGGTATTTTTAACCGGCCCACGAGTGGGTGTTTAGATGCTCCCATCAACATCAGAAATGGGCCAAGCACGTGCTCCTTGACGTAATGGAACGCCATGAAGGAGACTCTCCTTCATGGGCTGTGAACACAGGCTCTGCCATCACTCAGACGTGACCTGGCTGGGGCTCAGCTTCCGTGGGAAAGGACTCACTAAGCAAATCGGTACCGGGAGCAAGATTCCCATCACCGTTTCCTTGAAGGCACGGGCACCCTCGTCCTTGCCTCACGTGCCCACTCTCTTTAAGAAGGTTTCCTGAGCAAGGAGATGCTTTAAGAACACCTGGCAAGCCTTATCAAAGGTCACCGGCCTTTATAAAAGCAGCTGTTTCACTGGGGTGGGAGGGAAGGAGGGAGGTCGGCGTCCATTCAGTGTTTGAACTCCGAAGCCGGGGTCCCGAGTATTAGAACTGCCTGCAACGTGGCAGTGCCACTGGCCACAGTCCGTCCCTTCCGCCCATACCCGCTATCTCCTTGGATCTTCACGGCTGCCCCGAGAGACCAGAGTACATCTGTATCTGGATTTTGTACCAAGAAAACAAAGCCTGAGCCAGACCATGTGATTCCTTGAAGGCACACAGCCGGTCCAGGGAAAGCTGGACTCGGGCTCTAATCCCTCCTGACAGCCTCTTAATTCCAGGCCCAGTGCGGCTCTCACGGGGGGGTGCTCTTCAGAATAGCTCCTATGTGATATGCACTGATCGATTGATTCGAATCAGTGATATGCTCCATACACAAGGTGACCCACACACAGTAAAATCTAAATGCTGGACCGGCACCCCGAGTTCACAAGGTAACCGTAAAACCCACTGCTGAGCACAGGGCAGGGGCCACACACACTCCAGCTGGAGGCTCTCAGGACAAAGAGGAGGAAAGAGAGTGTGTGACAGTCACAGGCTCTCACGTGCACCTGTGTGAGGTCCCCTGAGATTCCGGGGAGGCCTGGGGAAGACGCACCAACAATGCGAGGGCAGCTCTGTGCTCGGCCACTGTCCAAGTCACCCTTTCTTTCCGCTCAGCGCCCGGCCAATGCAGAGTTCCGAATCCTTGGGGGCTGCCCCCTGCCCTGTAGGTCACTTCCCTCCATTATAGCTGGGGGTAGGGGGGTGGGGGGGAGAGGGCAGGCAGAGGCACGGTGCCCGGGGCAGCCTGGTAGCAGAGCCAGCGGGTCCCCGTGCGCCTCCTTGACCAGAACGGGACCCAGAGCCTGCGCTGCAAAGGCACCTGCTCCAGTGTCTCTTCCGCCAGGATGCTCTTTATTAGACCAGGAAGGACCCGGAGAGAACGTGAACCACGACAGGCAAAGCGAGGGGCCGCATCCTCATTGCCTAGAAACCACTCCTTCTTTCCTCCCATCAAAACCCACGAAAAATCTGGTGTTTCCTTAACCCCGATTAGAACAAAGTGTAAGCATATGGTCTGCTTGAGTCGTGATTACCAGGAAAATGCTCACCTTTCACTGGTCATTCATATTTTCTCCGCACCCAGAGACACCTAGCATCCCGAGGTTTCCCCGTGTTCCCAAGATCACCACGTGAAGCCCCTGACATTTCCACCTAAAGTATAGAACTAAGGAGAGTGAAAGTAAATTATATTGTTGTTTAGTGAGTCTTCACTCCACCTCGCCCCTCCACGGGAAGGGAGTATCTCCCTGCCCCAATCCTGGGCACGACCATGGATTTGCTTTGGCCGACGTACCCTGCTTACCCCGTGTGGGTGAGCCTCTCAGGTCTGAGCCTTGGTCCACAGTGGAAGCTGACGCACCAACAGAGCAGACGCGAGGCTCCGTATTTAGGGGGTTCCCGCTGCAACTCACTGACCCACGCTCACCTGAGGGCCCTCCTGATGGTGGACCACGCGGCACATGCAAGTCCGTGTGCACATCACAGGCTTTGAAACAGCTAGAAAAAAAAAAATGGCAACAGCAATTCATTCATTTTACTAAACAGGATCAAAGAGAAGTAACTCTCACGCCGAAGTCAAGGATATTTATGTCCCAGCATCCTATTTATGTCCGGTTATTAAACTAACTGGACCTACCATGCTGTCAGTCCTAAAGAAAAATGGGAACTACACGCCCATATCTGCGGTAACTGCCCAGTCCCCTCACTCCCTCAGGCCCATCCCTCCAGAGCTATCTCCTCGGCATCCCGCTCTGTCCAGCCTGCGGCCATCGGCCTGGTGCTTGGACCTGGCCTTGCCCCCAGGGTCTGCGGTGGGCGAGCACTTCTGGTGCTCTGAGCGGCCTTGAGCGCTGCGGTTGCATCCGCAGGAGAGAACTCAAACCACAGAAGGACCTGCAGCAGGCCTGGCCGTTACAGTGGAGACTGCAGAAGAAAAAGGTACACGAACTTCAGAATTTCCACTTCTGGGAGGCGACGGAGGGAGTGACTAGCTTAATTGAGAGCAAGTTTCCCGAAGGCATTGTTGTGCAAAATGTGATAAATCGGTGCTGGCGATGACCCTGCAGACATGAGACTGCGGTCCACAGTCTAATTGTGAAGATATAGAAAATGTAAATTACGCTATAGGTTGTTTATTTTTAATAAAAAATTATGCTTAAAACAGTTCATCTGGCCAGCTGGCGGAATTATTTGCCCAAAGTGCGTTCTTCCTCAGTGACACCTGCTAAGCGCGGTGTCCCCATACGCCCCCACCCATGAAGGCTCTGCTCAAGGAGCCTCAGGTCTAGACTCACGCCCAACACCCCTGCCGGGGGAGGAGTGGCGGGCACACCCTCATCAAGACATTAAATGGACCACGAATGTGCCCAGCTTCGCCAAGACTTTTCTCTTTCACTCCCTTCCTCTTTTCTGATCCTCAAGGCATCCACGCTTCACAGAAGGACCTCACGGCCCCTCCAGGCTGTCAGCCCAGGCTCCCCACCCGCTGCTGACACGTCGGGCAGGTAACTGCCGTGGGGACTGCCCTGTGCATTATAAGATGTTTAGCAGCGTCCCAGGTCCCTCCACACTAAATGACAGCAGCGTCCCCCAAACACACCTGGGGATGTTGCCAAATGTCCCCTGCAGGGCAGAAGCGCCCCTGGCTGAGATCCAAACATATTCGGCGTCTTGAAGCAATTTATCAAGCTGGCTTAAGACCATGTTTCACATATTTTGGCTGGTAAAAAACCTGTATGTAAATTCCCAGGGCAGGTTGCTAAAAACACAGTTTTCTAGATTCTATCCCAGACTTACCTTGCTGATCCCTGGAGGCGGGTGTGTGAGCAGCTCAACGGTGTTCTGACGGGTCAGGGCCTTCCTGCTGTCCCCCGGGACAGCCCTCGGATGACGGCCAGAAGTCCACAACAGTTCTAGACGCCTCTGTCAATGAAACATCCAGAAAGTGAAAATGGGCCCTGGTACCTCAGCATCTCCTTTGCTCTCCAGGGAAAGCCTTTCCGGGGCCCCACCCCTCTGGGCCAGATTACGCTACAAATCTGAGTCTAAAATATCCTCTGGCAAAGGGAAGGACCTGTTTCACACCTGGGGCTGGGGAGCAGCCCTTTCCCTACAGGACGGAGCCAGCCCAAACTTGCATTAAACTGGGGACCTGCGGGCAGGAGAATGAGAATAAATAGAATTTACTTAAGATTTTTTTCAGAAACATCTCGCTGCCAGATCAGATTCCCACAGATGGTATTGCTTTGGACTGGGATTCGTTTTTTTTTAATATTAGGCAAAATACAGGACTGGTGAGATAAGGATGTGACATAAGAAACGGGAAGACGGCACACAAACGCCGGGGGAGCTTAGCTTCAGCCTCCAGGAGGTATGGCCAGAGTCCCAGGACATGAGACATGTGACTCCAGTTTCCATAAAGATGTGACAGAAACAAGTCATTTTCTGAGTTAATTTTAATTAGGAGAGAAATAAGAATGCGTGTATTCCTCTGCATACCTTACGTGGACCTGGGTCCCCAGGAGACAGCCTGGGCTCAGGGGTCCCCAAGGATGTTGGATGCTGAGGGGCCCGGGGTGGGGGAGGGGAGGAAATGGGGGAGAAGAGAGACTGGTGGTCTCTGGGGAGCAGGAGTTCTTGTTCCTGCCGCTCGCAGGTGAGCTGCTCGTCTGGACACACAGCCCTGGAGGTGGCAGCAGCAGCGTCTCCACTCCAGCCCGACGGGGACCACGTCCTGCGTCCGCCCTGGACGCCTGCTCCCCTAGCCACTTAGCTGTCCCAGCAGCAAGAGGCCCATGAGTCCCCCATCCCTGCTCTTTACTCCTGCTGGCAAGCAGTCGCCTGAGGATTGTAATAAAAGTGTAAAGAGCTACCAAGGCCCACGGCGCTTGGCCGACCTCCCCCTCCAGGGTGGGGAGCCCCTCAGGGGAAGGTCCCCACGGCGGGGACTCTGTGAGGGCCACGCAGGAGGGACCAGAGGGTGGGACAGGCGACTCGGGACTTAGATAAACTCCATGCATGGCCTGGGTTGTGGACGCTCGCCGGGACGCTGCCCTCTCCGTAACTGACCAGCCACGTCACACGCTGTCCCCTGTCACCTACCTCTGCTGCGTTTTGCCACATAATACGCTGACTGACTCAAAACCAGCTGATTTTGGAGGAAAACACTCTTGCATTTTCAGAAGAAATAATACTAATTTGGACCGTGAGCATCTGATCAGAATTCCCTGTAAATATTTGGATCAAGCGCCCGGGGAAGAGAGAGACCCGGTTGATTGTAACTGATCGTGGAAAACCCATTCCTCACAGTGTACACGTCGGTATCTCCACTGGGCTCAGCAACGTAAAAGGCCCCAGGATGAAACTGGCGTAGAGAAGGTGCCGGCTGACAGTGACAGATGGGAACGGGGACCAGCACGCTCTCAGCCCCGATGGAGGGCGGACAAGAAGCAGGCCTCGTCGTGGGTGGGTGGTAATTCATTTCAAGATGCAGAGCGGCTCAGAGCTCAGAGGTGAACAAAGGGCTGGGGCTGCAGTCCCCAGAGAGTCTCCCCTCTGCCCCCGTCTGCTGTCCCCGTCTGCTGAGTCTTCAGAAGGGCTGCTTAGCCATGACCTCCGCCCTCCAGCCCTGCGAGGAAGCTCTGGGCAGGGATGGGACCGAGCGTCACCATCGTTGGTGGAGAGGGACCCGATTTATTAAACACAGGAGTGACAGGTCTGAACGGAATTGTCCCCCGAGACCGAAGGAAGAGGGCCCCTTTTGTGGATAGCTGCAGGGATTCTGCAGCACTTCAGACGGGGCATGCAGGGGGAACGCTGGGATGCGGAACACACGGTCCAGGAAGAGCTCGGGGGCTGGGGCGTCTCCTGGGGAAGTCTGAGAGGAGGAAGGAAGCACAGCTGCTGCCGTGGGTGTGGAGGAGGCCTGGGGAAGGTGCTCTCAGGATCCGTGGTTGCAGGGCTGCAGACACATTCTGTTCCAGGGATGCAGCCCTGAACCTGGGTACCACAGAACCTCTCCTCGGCCTCAGCCTCCCGCGGGGCCTTGGCCTCTCCCCCCGACTCTCCTCCCAGCTCCGCCCCCCCTGCCCCCACGTAGAGCATCACCTTCTCTCGCTGGGGTCCCAGAAGCAGACTTCATCAGGACCCCCCGAGTCCAGCACCTCCACTTTTCATCCACTTTTATAGATGAAAACATCTACACACATCAAAAATGCAAGGCAGATCACCACTCACTTTCCAAAACTCTTCAATCACTTGCAATGGCTGAACCCCCAGTCCAGGCTCAGGAGAAAGTCCTTTAACCCCGAGCGTGTCCCCAGCCCTGTGCTGTCCAGCTTCACCTCCACCGCCACCCCCGGCTCCACCCGATCGTGAGTCACCACCAGGCAGGCGCACAGCCGCCCAGCTTCATACGCGGTCAGTCCTTACTGGTCTGGGATTCCGTGTTGGTACATCCGCCTGCGCACCAAGGCCTATTAGTGACCTGCAGTCAGCACTCGTGGGGCCTTCGTGGGCGTCCTCAGACATCGCAGAGCAGGGAAACACGTGTACATCCAGACCCACCGCCCTGGCTCCGCTGGGACAGGACCACATCCCGCCTTCTCCGTCCAGCTCACACGCAAACAGGTGTCCTCCTCGTAGTCTACTGAGTGCCGCGCTCTTCACATCTCGGTGATTTTGTTCGTGGTTTTCTGTCTAAAATGGTCCCCAAGTGTCACGCTGCAGTGCTGTCTAGCGTCCTAAGCATACCTAGGCTGTGCTGGGCCTCCCAGAGAAGCTTCCATACAGCACGAGTTATGGGCTGTTGGCCCTGAGTTCAATGTTAGTGCATCAGTGATGTCTATTAAGTTGGGTGTCTTCAAACAGAAACACGTAAAACAAGGTGGCGTACTGTTTGGTGGATGAAATTGCTGTGACCAGACGTTGGCAGGAATCTGTGGGGGTTCACTGTATGTGTCCACTGGGCTGGGCTGCGGTGTCCCGATATTTGGCTAACCATTATTCTGGGTGTTTCTCTGAGGCTGATTTTGGATGAGATTCCCATTTAAACCAGTGGACTGCAAGCAAAGCAAATCGCCCTGCCCAGGGTGGGTGGGCCACGTCCAATCAGCTGACGGCCCGAACTGAACAAAACCTGACCGTCCCGAGCAAGGGGGGGATTCTGCAACCAGCTGCCTTTGGACTTGAACTGCAGTGCCCACTCTGCTCTGGGCCTGAGGCTGCTGACCATGCTGCAGACCATGGACTCACCCACCTCCACCATCACAGACAGTCTGTGTATATGCACATCCTGTTGGCCCTGTTTCTCTGGGGAGCCCTGACCAACACACGGACCCTGTATCTCCCAAGAGCAACGGGCCAGAGTCACCGACTCAGTGCTTGGGCCCACTTTTCGGGAGCATAACTGCCGTGAATAACGAGAATAGACTGCGTCGTCCCCGCCGCCTGGTTGCTATCATTCAGGTCACACAATTATCCCAAGCCCCCGTCCCCACCTCCCACCACGTGAAGCCCTCCCTGGACCCCTAGACTCTTGCCCTGGGGTCCCACAGGAGACAGGGTCTCGCCCCTGTGGCAAACCTGGCACAGAAATGGCACAGAAGTATCTGCGAGTTCCCTTTCTCAGCAAACCGTGAGCACTTAGGATAGGGCTGTGCTTCCCTGGAACACAGAGGCTCTAGATGACCCTCTGATGCACGAATAACCCATGAGAGCAGCCCTCGCGGGAGGATGGTGGCTCCCGACTGCAGCTCCAGGCTGCTTTCACGGGCTATTGAAACTGATACCGCACTGTGCTCACAGCCACATGGCTGAAGGTCACCCAGTAGCCCTCCTACGAAAACTTCCCGGGTCCTGTTACAGTGTTGGAAATGCCTGCATCCGTTCTCTGTATTTTGAGGCCTTGATGGGCACGGCGAGGACAGAGGTATTTTCCGGGCCGGGGGCAGGCAGGGTCTTTCATCAGCACTTCAGCTGTTCAGATCAGCAGGGCCTTGAGGAAATGAGGAAGGCGTGTTTTCATAGGTTGTAAACCAGACGACGTCATCAGAACTTGGGAGCATCTGGGCTGAGACAGCCGCTCACTGACGCATCTTACTGATAACCCGGGGTCGGTGGGGTGGCAGGGAGGAATCCGCACGCGATCTCCTGTGATCCCCGCCATGCGTCTCCTCTCCTGACCATCTCGCCCAGAGCAGAAGACAGGGTGACAGGGCCAAACTGCTCTGGGGACAACATCTAGAAGCAGTGAGCTGTGAAAACTTCAAGTCTAGGGAGAACTTCAAGGAAGTAGATTTGGGTTCACTGACCTTGAAACGTTAGGAAGGTCTGTAACATTCCCAGCTGCCCCAGTGCGGCCGGAGAGAGAGGATGCCCTCCCAGAGGAGGGGCCAGGAAGCAGATGGGGCTCAGGAGGACCCTGGAGAAGCTTTAAGCCCCCCTGCTTCCCTCTAATGCTGAGACCTGGGTCACGTCCCTCCTGGGAACCGTCAGCTTTGATCTGCTCCCTGGACACCGGGTTTGGATCTCAGAGCCAAGCGCTCGATGCCTGTGCCGTGCTGCTGGAGGGACCCGTATCTCGGGGCAGGGAGACATGTGGCGGCCACACGGCTTGGCCGGCTTGCCACCTCCCCTTCCTCCGCGCACAGAGCTGACCACTGGGTGGGCGAGCCCTCAGGGCCTCAGCTCCCCCCATCCCAGCCAGGCCCTCAGCCAAGCACAAACACAGCCAGCCTGGCCGCTCTGCCCGGAGGTCCTGTTCTACCTTCCTGACTTATCTCAGACCCTGGCCCCAAAGCTCATATTGACATTGGCGACAATTTTACATGGACGGTGACAAGATCTGACAGAGTTTAAAGTTTCAGTGAAAAGATGACACAGCTGCTGTCCAAACACAGGCTCAAATCCGGGGCCAAAAATGT